CTAGCGTTCGCAAGCACATCTAGGGTTTTTTTATCTCATCTGAAGTTCAATAACTCACCTTGAGTTCGAATGTTCGATAACTCATCTACAATTCATCAGCTCATTTGGAGTTTGCCACCTCTTCTAAGATTCATTATATTATTTAGAGTTCGTTAGCCCATACATAGTTCCCTATTTCATTTAGAATTCGCATATTTATCTGATATTGCACAGCTCAATTAAAATTCGCCAGCCCCTTTAGGTTTATATAGCTGAGTATTAGTTGGAATCATTTTTACCTCATCAACCGTGTTCCAAAAATTTTTATATCATGGAATTCGTGAGGTCACTAAGTGTTCTTCTCAGCTGTCCACTTTGTGACTGTTCTTCTCAGCTGAGTTCGACAGCTCAGCTGAAGTTCACTAGTTTATCTAGAGTTCGTCAGTTTATTTAGAGTTTTCTATTTCATCTCGAGTTCGTTAATTGGCTTAGGGTTCTATAACTCGCTAGACTCGGGTTCTAGATTCGCTATATACTCTAGAGTTCGCTAGCTCCTACATAATTCCATATTTCATGTAGTGTTCGTTAGCTGCCTTAGAGTTCTATAATTCATATAAGGTTCCTTCAATTGTCTTGAGTTCTTCAGCTCATCTAAAGTTTCGATAGCTGTTCAATTACAGTTCGCAAGCAGTACGGATTTCACTAACTTATCTAGAGTTCACCATTTTATTTTAGCTGATCTAAGGTTGTCCAGCTCACCTAGAATTCGTTATTTCTTCTAGAGTTCGCCTGCTTGACTGAAGATCGCTAGTTCATCCAGAGTTCGTCAATTCATTTAGAGTTTCCTATATCATCTAAAGTTCGTTAGCTGACTTATAGTTCTATAACTCGCCAGAGTTCGGCAGATATTTTAATATTCGCTGATAGAGTGAAGAGTTCGCCAGCTACTGCAGATTTCGCTAATTCACCTAGAGTTCGTTAGCTGACTTAGGGTTCTATAATTCATATACGATTCCCTCTATTGTCTTAAGATCTAATATTTACCAGATCAGCTTGAGTTTTCAAAACTCATTCCACTTTCGATAGCTATTAAATTTGAATTCGCAAGCTGTTCAGGGATTTCACTAACATATCTAGAGTTCGCAAGTTTATGTAGAGTATCTCAGCTGACTTAAGGTTGTAAAGCTCATCTAGGATTAGTTTTTTCTTCTAGAGCTCGAATATTAGATGATTCGCTACATCATCCTGAGTTCGCTAACTCCCTATTTCATCTAGAGTTTGTTAGCTACCTTAGGATTCTCTAACTTTCTCTTGAGTTCGCCAGCTCATCTAGAGTTCCCTCAACTCAACTGAAATACGCTAACTTAACTGAAGTTCTCTTTCTTTCTTAACTCATTTAGGGTTACCCGTTAGTGTTCGGAATCATCTCTGTAGAGCACTTCCATTTATGTAGATTATCTAAGGTATACTAAAATCCTGAAAAATATGCCCATCATTAAGAGATCACCTACCCAATCATGAATTTTATTGTTAAGATCAGAAACTAGGCTTAAACATTCCAACCCCATCGGATTCCAATAAAAAAAACTCGAACTTCTTGCATGCTCTCATTCATTACATATATATTTTTTTATAAAAACAGTTTCCTATAATCCATTTACGACCTTATTCCGCTTTATTTTCGGGGCAAGGATTGGTCCAAGACCATTTGTTCCATAGAACACATTCGCTTTTAGCCGAATCGAACAAGTGGGCATCGGGGCAACGTACCAATTTGGCTGCAGCTCCTGCCGATTCACACTGCCAATAGGCTGTAGGATCCCAGAAGTTGCGTACAGGTACATTCAGGTTATCTTTGGTACAGACGGGTTCATTGTTGCTGTCAGAATCACAGGCCAAGGCAACAGCCATCAGGGCAAATATAACAATCAAACAACTAACTACAATCAAAGGAATAAAGAAATTAGATGCAGGGCTCCTTTGGGAGACAACTTCGGAGGACTTACAATATTTCATGTTGCGAAATTTGTGTTCCTCTGCTATTAGTAAACGTGTTACTTGTGAATTTGCGAACTTCTGTAATTTGTGGAGTTCCGCAACCTAATTTATAGTGAAATCTATAACTATGAATGATTCTTGTTATCTTTAAGTTGTATATACTATATTTTAGTAGCCTTGTAACTGCAATTCGCTGAAGTTACTTCTACTCGTTACCTCATTGTCATGCCACTTATGATTGTAGTTACTATCTTTACTATTTTCTTAAATATTAGTCTGAACATTGTAAGGTCTTTTGACATAAGAAAATATTGAAGTGACTCATTTGGGGCTGCCGGAAGGGGACAGTTATCTACCGTGAGATTTTTGAATCAACTGAAGTTTATTCCCTCTTAATTTATTATCTTGTTGCGAACATTCTAAATATCGCTATGCAGCTGAATTATATTTCGGCAGATAAGAAAAATATGGACTTATCTCATTTTACATGCAATCATATCATTACTAAACTTAGAGACTACAAGATGCTATATCTTCCAGAGTTCGCTACCTGATCTTTAGTTCGCTACTTCATCAAGAGTTCGCTATCTTATCTAGAGTTGGACAGTTTTGCTAACTCATTTAGAGTTCCTTAGCTTATTTAGAGTCCACTAACTCATTGAGAGTTCACTAACTTATCTAGCATTAGCCAGCTCATCTACAGTTCCCTACCTCGTCTAGAGTTCCCTAACTTATCTAGAGTTTGCCAGCTTATCTAGAGTTCGCTAGCTTATCTAAAGTTCGCTAGCAAATCTAGTGTTCGCAGGCTCATCTAGAGTTCACTACCACATCTATAGTTAGATATTTCTTCCAAAGTGCGCTATCTCTTCCAGAGTTCGCTAGGTCAGTCAGAGTTCGTTAACTCATATAGAGTTGCTTAGCTTATTTAGAGTCCAATAACTCGAAGATAGTTCACTAACATATCTAGGATTGGCCGGCCAGCTCATCTAGAGTTCCCTAACTCATCTAGAGTTCGCTACCTCACATAGAGTTCGCTACCTCATCTAGAGTTCCCTACCTCATCTAAAGTTCGCTACCTCATCTAGAGTTCACTACCACATCTATAGTTAGATATTTCTTCCAGAGTGCGCTATTTCTTCCAGAGTTCACTATCTCATCATTAGTTCGCTTCCACATCTATAGTTCGCTAGCTAATCTAGCGATCGCTATCTCATCCAGAGTTCCCTAGCTCCTCTAGGGTTCGCTACCACATTTCTTATCACTACTTCTTTCAGATTTCGCAATATCATATAGAGTGTGCTTTGAAGTGTGTGTCCGAGTTGTTGTGTTGCTTAAGTCGCCTGATCAAGTAATTACTGATCCGCGCACGTATCGGATCATAAGTATTCTTCCAGTTCTTGAAAAAGTGCTGGATAGGATTATGGTGGCATGGCGTAGGGAATGCTACAGCGAAGGCACATTCTTGTATCAGTTCGGTTATACAGACGTTAAAGGTACCGTGAACGCGTAGTGGCATCTACTAGATAGCCTGAGAGGGTTAAATACCAAATATGTCCTTGGCATATTTGAAGATTTCTTCTCATTACTCCTTTTAGTGTTCCCTATTTCATATAGAGCCCACCTGCTCATTTAGAGTTTAGAAGATCACCATGTAATCCATGGATGATCTTCAACTAACTAACGTTGCAAGGTCGTTTAGAGTTGATAAGCTTATACACAGTTCCTCGAATCCGCCAATTTATTTTCCCCAAGCATATCTAGAACTCTTCATCTGAGCAAGAGATCCCTACCTCTTTTAGAGATCACTAGCTCGGTGAATTGAAAGAGCCTCCGTGTTTGGATCGTATAGAAGTTGTGGACAGTTTCTGTCGGGTTAGAAGAACAAATTCGCCAGGTATGGATGGTATGACTGGAAGGATGTTGAAAGCAATCTGGAAGGTCATGTTGGCTTATATCCCTAGCTGCATTTCCCAGGGTTACTTTTTTCCCAAGCACGCCTAGAACTCCTACTCGGTGAATTGAAAGAGCCTCCGTGTTTGGATCGTATAGAAGTTGTGGACAGTTTCTGTCAGGTTAGAAGAACAAATTCACCAGGTATAGATGGTATGACTGGAAGGATGTTGAAAGCAATCTGGAAGGTCATGTTGGCTTATATCTCCAGCTGCATTTCCCACGGGTTACTTTTTTCCCAAGCACGCCTAGAACTCCTAATCTTAGCCAGAGATCCCTACCTCATTTAGAGATCACTAGCTCGAGTTCGCCATCTCATCTAGAATACACCAGCTCATCTAGAGTTCCCTAACTTAACAAGAATTCGCAAGCTCTTCTGTAGTTGGACAGCTCATCCAGTTTCTTCAGAACGTCTAGAGTTCCATTGCTCATATAGATTTTGTTGCCGCATTTAAGTTTGCACATTTATATTTCTATATTTCTGATGTAGTTCGTAATTTATTCCGAAGAACGCATGTTCATTCTTAGCGCACAAACATATTTAGAATTTTCCTGATCTTCTAGAAGTTCAACAGCTCAGCAAAAGTTCGACAGCTCGACTAGATGTCGGTATTTCATCTACATTTCAATATCTATTCTTGTGTCAGTACTTCTAAAGTTTGCTATATATATATATATATATATAGAGTCCGCTAGATTTTCAATCTCTTCTATGGTTCACAAATTCCTCCTTAGTTGGTATGATCCCTCTAGCACCACATTCAAAGTTATTTTGCTCATCTAAATTTATCTCTAGCCCGTCAATTTTGTATTTTCCAAGTATATCTAGAAAGCCTCAAGCAATCCCTACCTCATTTAAAGTAGCATAGCACGACTAGAGTTCCCTAATTCAACCAGATTTCACCAGTTCATCTTGATATAACTAGCTCTCCTTGAGTTCCTCATGTCACCTAGATTTTCCGTTCATCTATAGTTTTTTAGCTCATTTATTAATTGACAATATTTCTTCCTTACGGAAACCCCTTCTAATCACTCAAAATAAAAAGAAATATAAATTTATTTTCTCATTTTCCCTTTATTCAATTAGTTTTGGGGGCAAGGGAAGGTCCATTCCCAGACCTTGTACGAAACACATTTACCCAAAGCAGAATCGAACAATTCAGCAGTTGGACAACGAACAATTTCAGCTTTGGCACCGGCAGCAGTACATTGCCAATAGCAGGTGGGATCCCAGAAGTTACGAATGGGTACATTCAAATTATTCTTGGTGCAGGTGGGTTCATTGTTGCTGTCGGGATCACAGGCCAAGACGCAGGCAATGACACAAGCCAAGAAGGTCAAACAGGCGACTGGAAAGCAGATTATTTTTTATGAGACTCTTCAAATTTATTTTCTATGAAAAATAACTTACAGAATTTCATTTTGAGATTGGTTGTTGGTTCCGGGTAGTTCCAAATTGCAACTTGTCGAATTAGTGAATTCTTCGGCAGTTTTTATAGTTGTCGGAGAATAGATTTTTGGCACTTGATAAGAGAAAGTTTAATTGATTTTGTTTTATATAGTTTGACATATTTGTTTTGCAAACTGAACAGTGAAATGACACAAGTTATTAATAGCTGATAACAAAATTTGGCAAAGGCTTCCTCTTTCTTAGCTCCCCTTACTATCTGTATTCGTTTTTTGATTTCCGAGTAATTTTTAGCGAATGGAAGTTGTATCTTATCATAATGTAGAACATCATAATAAATGTATGTCCTCTTGTCTGAAACTTCAGAAATCGATCATAACTAGAAAATCACTCTGACGATCCCTGGCATAATAAACCCTCTGTATGACCTTCAAATTGTATAAATACCTGTCCCATGGTCTTAGAAATTAAGATCATAGGACAGGTATTTAACTCACCTTTAAAACAGAAGTCAAGGTCATTAAGTGTGAAAACATAATATGCCTTCGAAATTCTTTTTAAGGACTAAACATTTTAAAATCCACTGAAGTCTAAAAAACAGGTTTCATCGATGATTATACGATTTGGCGGAACAGCGCTTTTCTATCGAAAATAGTTATGAGACCTTTGAAACCCTCCAGTCACTGACAATATACGGAAATATATTACGATTTGGCGACGTAAACTTCTAGGTGTCAATGAAAATAAGCGGAAAAGTAACCCTCAGAGAAGTTCAAAGCCCTCAGAGAAGTATCGAAATTAAAAAAAAATCATCAAAGATTCTAATCTTTGAGTTCAAGAATTTACTCAGTAACTGTAAAAATAAGATTTCAAATCCTCCTGCAGGGGGCAGGAATTTTACAAAACGCCACAAATGAATGTCGTCATACCAGATTGTTCAGTTTTGCGGAACAGCCCTTTACAAAGGTGTCAAGGTCATTAACAATGAAAATGAGTAGAAAAGAAACCTTTTGAAGTCCTCAGAGATTTGTTCATCGCTGCATGATCGATATGACGGAGGAAGAAGAAGCTTTTAAACCCCTCAGCAGAATCTTGAATCGAACCCTATTTGACTTCAATTGAATGTCATACGATTTGTTAGAACTCAAGGCCATTAACTGTGGAATTAAGGTATACAACCTTCAAAACCAGCCGTTAGCGCTGAGAAGAAGAGAATTTAATAGAATGATTAGAGTTGGATCGCTCCGCAACGAACTAGTTAAAAGGGACCAACATTCCGTCCTAGATGCGGTTCTATTGACATCACTTTACAATCCTTTTGATGCAATCGTCCACATATTCCCTTCCGAATTAATTGAACTGTACCAATAAACGATTTAACTAAAATGAACTATGGAACTAAATGAACGATATATTTTCTGTTAAAAGAGAACGTTAACCTGCCACAATTTAAGGTCATCATCTCTGATTATTTTTATTGACTCCTCCCGGTATAGGTAACTCGGGTCATCAACTGTAAAATTTATCTATAATATTTAGAAAGGGCCGTGGAACCGAACAGTTATGGTGGCACTTGACCTATCGAAGGCCTTCTATATCATCAACAATGCCAAGATGTTCCAAGATATAGAGAAGAACAATCTCGGACCGTGTTTGAAAGGTTGTATAATTAGTCTAATCCCCGTACAGTGAAACAGAGAGTTCCTCAAGGAGGGGTCATATCTCCGGAACTGTTTAACCTCTACCTTTCTGATATTCCAAAATCACCGGACGGTATAGAGATCGTAAGGAATGTGAATGACTGTACTATCATGGCGTCGGGTCCCATTATTGATGACATATGTGAGAGGTTAATCTTCTACATAGCTGATCTCGAAAATTGCTTCCATCTGAGGAATATGAAAATAACCGCCACAAAATCCACAGCCACTCTCTTCATGGCGTCAGGTCCCATTATTGATGACATATGTGAGAGGTTAAACTTTTACATAGCTGATCTAGTAAATTTCTTCTATATGAGGAATATGAAAATATCCACCACAAAATCAACAGCCACACTCTTCATTCCGACCACTAACTACCCTAAGATACTGGGAGTAACGTTCGACAGCCTTTTCAAGTTGTCTTTGCAAGCCACTGCTTTATGCGATAAGCTGAGAAGTAGGAACAAGGTCCTCAAGACGCTAGCCGGCAGCACTTGGGGTGCTGACAAAGAAACCTTGTTGACCTTTTATAAAGCAATAGGCCGGTCAGTGGCTATGCGGAGCCAGTGTGGTTCGCGGATGTAAGTGATACGAGTGGAAGAATATCCAGAATTGCCAGAATATCCAGACTTGCTGTCCTGAGAACTGCAATGGTGTGTCTCCTCATGACTCCTGTGGACCATCTTCATGAGGAGATGAAGATCTTACCCGTCCATCGACACAATTACATGTTGTCGGTGCCGCACTTGCTTGGGTGCTGTCGTCAGGAACACCTCTGCCATAGTCTTATGGGCATTACTCCCCCTCCCAGGCACGTCAGGAAAGATCTTCATGATCTATAGAGAGAAGTCCAAAGATATAAGCGTGAACCCCTAGATCAAGAAGCCTATCAAAATGGTTTTCACACGCATGCAGTCGCTCAGGCAGTAGAGCAATATTGTATGAATACCATAATCGGAGACCACCCCCAATCCATCACAGCAGAGGAGAAGCAGCTGTCAAGACAAACACGAGTAGTCTTAGCTCAACTAAGATCAGGATGGTGCAAACACCTCAATTCATATTGGGCAAGAATTGACTTTGGCTCAATACCTAACACATGTCCTGCATGTGGAGTAGAACCACACGACACTTTGCACCTCTTCAACTGCCCAGCTAAGCCGACGCATCTATCGCCGAATTCGCTATGGACGCAACCCGTTCAAGTTGCAACATTCTTGAATTTGGAGGTAGAAGAAGCAGAACCAGACAATGAATAACCCATCGCATCTCTTTTGTTGCTACAACAACAACGTATAATATACAATTAAAACCCTCGGTGAAATATTAAAGTTAAATGGGACGAATTTGTTCAAAATAACTATTCCTCAAAACGAACGATTGGTTTTTTTCTTCTTCCAGTTCATTTTTGCTCTCGTTTGCCTAGTTTCGTTTGAACCTAGTTTGAAGTGTACCAACGTACCTTTTGAAGTCCTCAGAGATTTGTTCATCGCTGCATGATCGATGTGGCGGAACATCGAAGGACTCAGTTCGCTGCGAAAAAATAGAAGACGAAACTTTTAGAATCAATTGGATGTCGTACGATTTGTCAGAAGAAGGCTGTTCAAAAAAGTCAAGGCCATTAACTGTGGAATTAAGATTGGTTATATCCTTCTTCCAGTTCATTTTTGCTCTCGTTAGCCTAGTCCCTTTTGACCCAATAATTCATACAGATCTTCCTGATCATCAACCGATTTAGGCGAAGTATACCAATGAACGATTGAACTAAAATGAACTTTGGAACTAAATAAATGACCTAATTCCAAAGCTAAAAAAATTTTCACAAGCGTTTCTAGAAAATTAAAAATTATACACAAAAAAAATCGCCATATATTCAGACTTTTAGTTGTGGAGGCAGTTAAAATCGGTGACAGGTAATTGCAACTTGTCAAACATATTTCTAACAAGAATTATTTTTAAACACTCACACGTTCCTGTAATTTCTGATAAGACTCCAAAGGCCATGTGTCTTTGGCTAAAAATAACTTTCATTCAAACACCAACAACAACCATTGGCACGTAGAAGAAGCTGCAGCGGCTGGTAATTGTGTTATCAGCTATTAAAAACTTATGTCATTTCACTGTTCAGGTTCTTTCAAATTGCGACAGATAAAACTATAATGAAAATCAATTAAACTTTCTCTTATCAATTGTCAAAAATCTGTTTAACTTCAACTATAAAAATCAATACGAAATTCACAATGTCAACAAGTTGCATTTTGGAACTATTTGGAACCATCAGCCGATCTAACAAAAATGAAATTCTGTAAGCATTTTTTAACAAATTAACATTCAAGTTTTTATATTGACCCCGCAAAATTCCTTCCAGTCGCCTGTTTGACCTTCATGGCTTGTGTCATTGCCTGCGTCTTGGCCTGTGATCCCGACAGCAACAATGAACCCACCTGTACCAAGAATAATTTGAATGTACCCATTCGTAACTTCTGGGATCCCACCTGCTATTGGCAATGTACTGCTGCTGGTGCTAAAGCTGAAATTGTCCGCTGTCCAACTGCTGAATTGTTCGACTCGGCTTCGGGTAAATGTGTTTCGTACAAAGTTTGGGAATGGACTTTCCCTTGCCCACAAAATTAATTGGAATAAAAATCTGATTTGAAAAATACACTATAACTTCGATTACAATTATTTTTATACCCTCCACCATAGCATGGAGGGTATATTAATTTTGTCATTCCGTTTGTAACTCATCGAAATGTTCATTTCCGACCCTATAAAGTCTATATATTCTTAATCAGGGTAAAATTCTAAGACGATCTAGCCATGTCCGTCTGTCCGTCTGCTGTAATCACGCTATCTTTTGAAGGAATTGAGATAGGGTGCTGAAATTTTGCATAGGTTTGTCTTTTGTCTGCAGGCAGGTCAAGTTCAATGATGAGATATATCGGTCCACGTTTAGGCATAGCTCCCATATAACGGTACCCCAACTGAATTCGCTGAATTTTGGTACATTTGGTTCCTATTGGGTACTAAATGTCTCCACAAAAAATTATGAATATAGGTCCACTTTTTCTTGTAGCCCCCATATAATGGTACCTCCTAATTCCCAGTATTTTGGGGGTTTTGATCGTATTTTTCAACCGAATTGGCTATAATTTAGTATTTTGAGTTCAAATATCTCCACAAAAATTATGAATATAGGTCAATTTTTTCGGGTAGCCCCCATACAAGGGTAACCCCAATTTTCGGTATTTTGGGATTCTTGAGCGCGTTTTTCAACCCCCTTTTTGGGGTAGTCCCCCTTATAACCCCC